CAGAAGTCTGAGATCCGCTAGTGAGCGACGCCTCGTGGTACCATCACAGAGAGGCTCAAAATCACTTTCCAGAACATTCTCGTTCACCATTCCTGGCTTGTGGAACGATCTTCCCACCCCTATCCGGAATGCTGAATCCCTGACAATTTTCAAGCGACAAAACTCATCTCTTTCGAAGCTACTTGATTTCATCATCATCATCATCAAAATTTCTCTCTCTTTATTTATTCCTTCTCTTTCTAGCTTGTACTTATTTGAACAATGTCTAGAAACTTGGTATTACAAGCACTTCCTGTATCTGTTTGCCTCTTTAAGAAGAATCGCTTTATGTATCCCCAAATTGTAAGTCGCTTTGGATAAAAGCGTCTGCAAAATGACTAAATGTAAATGTAAATCATGGTAAGGCCAGCTCAGACTCTCTTTCCCACTCTCTTTTTTGTCTCTCATTCCCCCTCTTTTTTGCACACACTTTCTCAACAAATGAAGGTAAAACAGAATAAATATGGAACAAAACAAAGGCTGCTAATGTGGGTCATTCTTTGAGTTCAATTCAAAACTCTGTAAACCATGTCAATGTTTCATCTTACGTACAGCATATGTTATGGCACAAAGCAACCTAAACCTCTTCACTGGGTTTATAGCCGGAGGGTGAGCGATTTTTGACTGTAGGGGCTTCTGTGTAGCCCCCTGGGGAAACTCAGGGTTAAATGCCTGGCTTTGGGTTGCCAGACCATCACCAGATGATCATGCTGCTCATGCTTTTAGATTTGACCCATATTTGGCAGAGTCCTAATAAAGATGCAGTGAACAGCAAAAATCATTTTCTTAAAGGGATGGTTTACACAAAAATTTAAACTCTGTCATCATTTACTCATGAAACTGTCAAAAAAGCATCCAAAACAAGCTATAAGCACAACATTCGATCAATTCTTGCATTATATACACTTTCAAACAGCACAGCTCATCCCTCCACCGCCTGTATGCTTTATTGACCTTGATGGCAGCCCAAGTGGGACACTCTTACTCAGAACCGTCTGGCCTCCGTAAGTATATCTGCGTCCTTGGCGAGAGACGTGATCACGGTCGCTCGGTTAGAGCTTGCAGGGCAGCCAGATGTCCTTCTCATGGCCTTCAAAGTATTGTCTCTCCAGCTATTTATTTATTAATGTTCAGTTCACACCGCGATAACTCTCACCCTGCAAATACTGTTTATTATACCAGAACTCTGAGAAGAGGCTAGTATTTAAAGACTAATGTAAATACGCTTTTAATATTTTCTGAAGATGTGAATATTTTCTGAAAATATGAGTGGCGCTTGCCTGTGCAGGGGGGTAAGCCACCATGATGCAGCTGTACAGTTTTGTGGTTGGTTGCTAGGGCGTCAGGTTGCTAAGGTGTTTTGGGCTGTTGCTAGGTGGTTGCTTACCCATTCAAGTCAAAAGAACTGTCCCCCAAGTCTATAACATTCTGCTTCCTAAATGAGTCTGTCGCTCTTTCTATAAGGTGAAAATCGTACATCTGAGTGCTTAGAAAAGTAATAGAGCACTATTTGAGCTATTATTCAGCCTGTGGCTGAAATATAAGCGAATACTCTAGGTTAGAGGTCCATGTTTGAGCAATAGTAATAGTGATATTTACATCGTCAAAGAAATACCTGGAGCAGATCTTGAAAATGTTCATTTTTAGGGATTGGATTTCTCCTATAAAGTGCAATAAACCTTAAAGCTCTGGTGCACGATGTCCACAGCATTTAACTGATATTTAATTGCCATTTTTGACCATTCAGGGTGTGATCTTACATCAAAATACCTTTGTGACCCCATCATTTTATATGAAAATCATTGTGTTTATTTTTTAATTTATGACAACATAAATTCGAAATAGGACGAAAGTGGTGATGCACCAAGTAGAATTATCATCTATTGCAGTGGACAGAATCTAATACTTGGTTTGTAGCACAAAGAACTATTAAGAAAGACTGATTATTTTTACATCATATTTTTAATAGTTTGGAAGAAAATAAAGTTTCTGTTCTCTTTTGTGAATCCTTTATGAATATTAAAAATAAATAACCAAATAAAAGAATATATATATATATTTTAATTTATTACTGGAAGTAAAAATAACCATTAAGCATGTTTTTTTTATTACAGTATTAATTTTATGCATCAGGGGGTTAATACATTAAAGAATATGAATCTATGCTTTAAGGTCATCGTCACAGTCTCTGAACAAGCTCAAGTTTCTTAAAACGGCTGGTTTCTCTCACTCTGGTTAGTTCAGAGGAGGGCAGGTAATCTAACACCATGAAAGCCATCTCAATCGCTCTCTTTCCCTCCCTCTTCTCTGTTCTTCTTTTGCGAGTTCATGTTCTGGTAAGAGAAGATCTGTCTCTTTTTAATGAAACCCCCCCCGTCACACTCATCTCCCATCTGGTATGTGTGCATATATGTGTGTGCGAGGTGGTGGGAGGAGGAGGCTGGTGTGGTTATGTGTGTGTGTGTTAGTATACATGTAACCAGAGGGAATAAGAACACGTGTATGCATGTGTGGTGTCATTACAGCAGGAAGCCTTTGCTCTGATGAGAGGTCTCAATTCCTGTTTATAGAGCAACCACTGGAGCACAACAATAGCTGGAATTTTGATGGATCGGCAGAGAGGACGCCCAACTCTCACCCTCCAGAGAAAAGCTTCACTCTCGCTGACAAATATACAACACAATATGTGAGAAATCAGAGGCAATACACTCAGTGTTACTGATCGCTCGTAAATAAACAGGAAAGTCTCTCTCTAGTCTAGTTTTATTAAACGACACCTAAAGTGGTACTAGGGCTGCACGATTAATCGAATGCGATTGTTATGCGGATTTTGTTAGTAAAGCCGGTTCTGTAATCAGCAGGAAATCATCATCACATACTTTCAGATGGAGCAGAATTTACTACACATAGCTGTAGTTAATTGACAAGTTACGCAAAAAAAAAAATCGCGATTTTATTGCGCGATTCTGAAATCGAAGAAATCGTTCGCGATAATGACAGCTGTTTGCATAGCTTCTCAGTGAACTACGGCTCTGTGAAGTAAATGCTGCTCCATCTGAAAGCATGTGAAAATACCACATTTAATAACATATTTTTACTCCAAACTCACTTCATAACGTCAGTCGAGTGTTTGAAATAAATCCTTCTGTGAGATGATATGGCTTCTTACACAGAATAAGGCACGCAACATATTTCATAGTATTTAAGCAGTGATAAAGGCATTGCATTATAAATATACTTTATTTTAATTAAAATTATAATAATAAGAACTCCGATAAACCGTATATCGTAGTAGTCGTGTGTTTATTAGTCACGTTGAATCTGATCACAGAACCGTGCTTCACTGAAAGATAATCATGACAATCGCAGAATCGCGAGAATCGCGATCTTGATTCCATTTCGATTTATCGTGCAGCCCTAAGTGGGACCTTTTTTAACTTGTCTTAATTGTCTTGATACATTCATAGGTTAAATTTATAAAGTTACTATTATCATATTTGAATATATATTAGTAATAGTATTCAAATAGTATTGAAATTTTTTTTATATTATATTATTAATATTATATTACAAAATATTATAATTACAAGGTTATAAAATTTAACGTTTTGGCTCTTGTCTGATCAAAATGGTGTTGAGCGCACCCCTCACTGAGCGATCTGTTATATCGGGATCTCTGGGATTTGAGGTCAGTCCAGCTGGACGTCTGGTGCCAAAACGAGGTGGATTACACCCTTTAATCCCAGTCACCCCAAAGGAAGTGAACTAAAGCTGCCAGCGTCCTTCTTCAGACCACAGTCTTCATTCAACTGATCTCCCTGAACCTCTTTAAACAGACTTGGTGAAGTGTGAGAGAAGTGCTACTATCACTTGGCATGATACAAAAAAAAAAAACGGTTGTAAAAGAGTTTTGCCCTTAGGGGACCAGCAGCACTGACTGCTGAGATGAATTATATATATACAGTGTATCATGTGATGAGGGTTAAGACTTAGGCTTGTCAAGGAATTATAAGTATAATACTTCTGTCAGTTCTTTAGATGCAGTGCTCTAGGTTTCAATAAATAACAATGCTACATAAACAATGCATTAACTAAAAGTATAAATTTTAATGTTAAAAATGTTAATGTAAAATACTGTACAAAATAAATGCTGCAAATTGTTAGTTCATAAAGCTTCATAAATATTCATAAACCAAAAGAATTTATTATTGTATCTCCCTTCAAACAAAAATGGATGCCCAGACAACTAGGTGTTTTGATTCCACTTTTTATAGCACAACAGACAACATAGTGATTTCAGGTACAACAGTTTGCAATAGCTCTACTCACAAGAGAGTTTTGTTTTGTTTTGTTTTTTAAACAAGAGTTTTCTGAAGGCCTTCTTGTGTTACTGGAAATACAAGCATGCACTTGCAAAAATGTACTAGAAACTCAGACTTCAACAACTTGAGTAATTCGAACAGAAGGGTTGCACTGTATTGGATAAGAGAGGTTTGGCACTGAATGCTAGCTTTATTTTCTCAATAAATGAATTCCCTTGAGCTTGAGCTATTAATAATCTCTGAGCTATTTCTCAGAGGAAAAGCTGTTGGGGAAGCTGAAATTTGCTAATATTTCCAACCACACAAGCACAAAAATGTACCTATACATACAAGTCACTGCAGTTTCCAGTTGAAATGAACACTAGTGGTACTAAAACACCAATGACTTTTCATTCTTGTTCACACAAATTGTGATTACAGGGGTAGATTATCGATTAATGAACACTTATTTTTGTGCCTTTCGTTGCACAGCACTATGTTATTATGACTTCAAAACACTTTTAGTGCATGATTTGTAAACTAACACATTTCAATGTTTGTATCACATAACCAGCTCCACATGTATGGCTTTTCTGAAATAGTAAACTTGCTCGGTAGCTCACCTGGTACAACACTGCACTTGCTGTTGTAGAACTGCACTTGTAGAACACTTGGGTGCAAGTCCTGTGAAACATAAAAAAACATATAGACTTGTAGATTTAAGATAAAATGGTGTGGTTGCCTCAGCATTTGTCTCATGTTTGCATTTGTTAACACTATCGGTTAGGTTTAGGGTAGAATTTAGTGTAGGTGGTGTTATTTTCAAACGCGATAGAGCATAAACCTTTCAGCACCACTCACTGGAAATATTATTTTCGAATTGCTGTAATACGTAGAACAACCAGTGGGTCACATTCTTAATGATCGGTTTTGGATAAAACTGAAAACACTTTTAGCACCTCTTACTGGACGTTCCACCTTGAAAGTGTTGCGAAATGTGCAAGAAACAAATGTAATATCATTCATACAACTCATTGGCCACCCATATGACCAAGACATACTTGCCCTTCCCCATACGATCACGTTCCTTTCAAAATAATGTATACATGCATGTATTTTTAAAGCAACGATCAGTCAAAGCGACATCTAATATTTAGCTGCATTAAATACAAAGTATACAGAAGAAGATATAACGTGCTGTGCTTTTCTACATGTTGTTTTACAGACAAACCAGACTCTGAATAATTTACAGCAGCAAGGCCTTGACATCCTCAGGATCCAATTAGATGAAATCCACATGCAATCAGTCCACAGGAAAAAGCACAACAGGGACATCTCCAGAGAGACGAGACACTATTAGCAAGTTTCTAAAATACAGAGGGGAGAACTGCGTAAAGAGAAGAGCAAATTCACCACTGCTTTGACAGAACATGGAATCCTTGAAATCAGATCAGTGAACAAAGAATGTGATACTCGTATACAAATACCTCAGTTACTCAAACAACCCTCTGATAAGGTTCTACTGACTTAGTAATAGCTGTGCTTTAAATAGCAACAGCTATTAGATATAGTGTATGATAGTGCAGTTTAATGTCATATATAGAACTACGGTACAGTACTGTATAGCGTATGATACGGTAGGACATTTGCTTGCGGTCTTATAAAATGTCATTTTTAAGTAATCAGTTTAAGTGCCCTCAAAAAAAAATAAAAGTGTCTGATGGTGAAATGCAAATCCCAGACCAGCTGAATGTTTGTCTTTGCTGAAGTTTAAACTTTCCATAAATCAAGTGAAGAACTGCACAGCTTGTTGATGTTTTCCTTCAAACCAAAGATTGCAACTACGACTTTATTACTTCTGCTGAAAACAAAAGATAATTTGAAGAATGTTACAGCTGTTTTTGCGCAGACAGTGAAAGTCAATGGGGTCCGATGTTGTTTTATAGATTCAAAAAATAGCAGCTACCTTTTTTCAAATGATCTTCTTGTGGGTTCAACAAAAAGATAAAAAATGCATACAAGTTTAGATCAGCACAAGAGTGAGTAAATTATGACAGAATTTTCATTTCTGGGTGAACTATCGTTTTAAGAGTCAACTATTTTAAAAAAAATTTGTTGATCACTAATCTAAACATTGAGGTTAGTTATGATGGTTATGGCCATGTCACTAATAGTAAGCACGAGAGTAAACAACTAAAACAAAACAAGCAAGGCAAGTTTAGATATAAGAATCTGACCTAAACAGTTTACAAAATGAATCCAAGCCAGAAGCGCAATATAAACTACTCATGTGAAACTGTTATTAAAATTCCTTGTGACTTTATCAGTCAGATTGGGTTTGCATTGGTTTGCATTACAAGCTCAAGAGAAAAAGAGCCGTTTCAGTTCTGTCTAAGGGTGGAGTCACCACAACTGTTTGTGTGGTTTCCAGCCAAAGGCAACAATGACTTGTTTCTATAATCTCAAATGGAACATTTGTTAGACATTGTGTGATTATGCACTACTGAATAAAGTATCATAAAGGGCTTTGGTCTGGTTCTTAGTGTAGTATAGTCGGTTTGGTCTAGTGTGGCATTGATATGGCTTGATGTGCTGTGGTTTGGAGAAGTATTATGTTCTAATTGTATAACATGATCTGGTTTAACCAGGTTTGGTTTGGTATGGTCTAGTCTAATTTGGCCTTTCATGGTATCATATGATCAGTCTTTCAGCATTGCTATAGTCTGGAAAGGTCTGGTCTTAGTTTAATATGGTTGTTTATGCTGCAGTGAGGCTAAGGCACACATAAACTGGGCAGTTCACACAAGAAGAAGAATTACACTAATTGCACATTCAAATGTTTAGGATCAGTAAGATCAAAGGTTTGGGGTTGGTAAGAAGTTTGAAAAAAATGACAGCAAAAACATTTATTTTGTGAAATATTATTAAAATTTAAAAATAACTATTTTCCAATTTAATATATATTTACATCATTTATTCCTGTGATGGCAAATCTGAATTTTCAACAGTCATTACTCCAGTCTTCAGTGTCACATGATCATTCAGAAATCATGATTTGCTGCTCAAGACACATTTATTATTTATTATGAATGTTGAAAACAGTTGTACTAATAAATATTTTTGTGGATTTTTTTCAGGACTATTTTATGAATAGAAAGTTCAAAAGTTAAGCATTTATTTGAAGTAAAAATCTTTTGTAATATTTTAAATGTCCTTACTGTCACTTTTGATCAATTTAATGTATCCTTGCTGAATAAAAGTATTACATTCTAAAAATAAATATATAATTAAAAAATAGTAATTGTAATCTTACTGACCCCAAACTTTTGAACAGTAGTGTATGTTATTATTTACTCAATGTCATGCTGTCTACAATCATATGACTTTCTGTCTGTCAACAAAAAAAAAGATTAATTTTAGAAGAAAATCTGGGCTGGTCTTTTCCATATTATGAAAGTGAATGAGGACCAAAGCCATCAGTCTTAAAACCATGAAAAGAAAGCACCATAAATCATTCAGAGAAGGATTTTCAGTAAATATGACAATATAGATTATAAGCTTCTTTTATGTTCCTTTTTCATCATTTGGATCTTTATAACGGCAGTCGTCATTTACTTTCATTAAAAAAAATGCAAGTTTGCACATCATAAAACAATCCACGTTTGTGTTCCACAGTAAAAAGAATGTCATACAGGTTTGGAACAACATAAGGGTGCACTGCATAAATAAGATTTTTGAGTAATCCATCCCTTTAAAAGGACAAAGGCTCTGGCAATGGTTCAGAAAAAACTCTTCTAACTATATACTGGACATGATGGCAGTGAGGTCATGGTCAAAAACCGGGATGTGTGCAGTATACAGTACCAACCTGTTCCTGTTGGAACGTTGGACAGGAAGATACACACTGCCATCACTTGTTGTGCTCTCTAGTGCCAACGCTGTGCCCTGCTTAGCTCTCTCTGTCTCTCTCTCTCTCTGCCCGCTGCTGCCAGCTCACCCATGTGCCAAGCCCTCCACCAGACACAGGGCATTATGCACGCCCAACACAGCTGATACACACCAAATTCTGGATACAATAATTCCAAAACAGTTTTTATGCTCAAAACACATTTGTTCGTATTACTGCGAGCAATTTACAGTAATGACATCACCAGCCTGTTTTTCCCACTATGCTGGGTGATGCTGATCAGTCAGCATTACTAAATAAAAAAATAAGGGCTCTGCAGTAATTTAAATAACTTCTGGTTTAGAGTATTATTTGTTTATATATATATATATATATATATACAGATAGTATTTGTTTGTGTACATATAAAACAACACACAGGCATATTAGGTATTCTCACTTAAACACTCCAGAAAAACAAGTACAGCTAGTTTACCTTGCTATGACAGTTGAGGCCATAATGCCATAAATGAAAACACAATTACAAAATATAATTACTCTAATATGAAGTGGAATGACCTTTTTTAATAATAAATAAATAAATATTTGCTTAATAAATAAATAAAATAACATTTATTAATTTAAGAACTATTAATCACTATTTAATTTATTTTTATTTAATTCCATATTATTTATACTATATATGAAAATTGGACACATAAATATATTTCAAAATGTATTCATTTGATTGCATTTTACAAACCAAGTGGCAAAACAAATGATGCTAAAGTTTTCCTTTGTATTTTTTTTAATTAAGGCAACCTGAACATGTCCAAATAATTCTTTTATGAATATTTAGCTTGAAAAGTGCTTTTAAAAGTGCATTTATTTTAAAATAAATATATGCACTTGGTTTAATATGTACTATATAATGCAATGACATTAAAGCGGTCATGAACTGAGAAATCAAAATTCCCTTGACCTTTTGACATAAGAGATCATTGTACTATAACAACATCCTGTAAGTTTCAGAACTCAAAACTTTCTCGTTAGTCTAAAAACAGCTTATATTGAAGCCAATCTGCCAAAACAACAGGCTGTGGAATGTGCCACTTTATGACGTAATAGTGTGGTTAAACCCCGCCTCCGCAGAGGAAGATCAACGCCTGCTTCTACATCACTGCCTGTTTAGCCCCGCCCACCGATTCACGCATGTAGTGGGTAAATAACGAGAGACAAACGCAGGTCTATGCAGAAACCAAACGATAAAGATGGCTCCGAAGACAAGGCGTTGTGCATTGCCTTCCTTCTGATCCTAACATTAGGAAAGAGTGGATGAACTTTATTTTTAATGAAGATCTTACTGATAACAGATGCGTTTCCCAAAAGCATCGTAAGCTTAAGTACATCGTAGACCCATTGAAACCAATGGAGCTACGATCAACTTAGGCTTACGATGCTTTTTAGAAACGCAGCCCACATCAGTAAGAACTTGGTCCTTTGTTCAATTCATTTCACCATGGTTTCGTTTACAAACAAGGCACAATTCGATGCAGGATTTTCAGAAGGATTGAAACTAAAAGACGATGCTGTGCCGACTGGATCCATCTATGAAGGATGTAGGCTGTCAAACATACACAACTATTAGCTAATAATAGCAGTGGGTGTTTACTTCTGAGTCTACAATCCACCACGTCTATTCAAACAGAGCGTTCTGATGAGGGGGGTCAAAACAGGACAGAAAATTAGCCTATTACTTCTAAATTATGGTGTTTTTTGATGTAAAAATCTTAACATT